AAGAGGAGGAGGAGGAGATGTAGTGTGAAAGCGAATAGGATGATGGAAATTCTGCCCTCACCTTCCCCAACCACCTTAGAGAGTCCAAAGTCTGAGAGCAGAATCTTGAAGCATGTAAGGTCAGAGGGAGGGAGGGAGGGAGGGAGAGAAGGGAAGGGAGGGAGGGAAAGGAGGGAAGGAGGAAGGGAGGAGGGAGAGATATTGGAGGAGGAGGAGATTTGATTCACCTCCCCGTTGCGGTTGAACATGATGTTTGCTGGTTTGATATCGTAATGAATGATCCGTTGCCTGACAGAAACAAAGATGATGGAAACGATTGTGATGGAGGAGGAGAATATGAAGTAGGAGAAGGAGAAGAAGGAGAAGGAGAAGGAGGAGAAGGAGAAGGAGATACAAAGGAGGAGGGGGAGAAGAAGGAGGGGGAGGGAGGAAGAAGAGGAGAAGGAGAAGGAGAAGGAGAAGGAGATTCGAAGGAGGAGGAGGAGGGAGGAGAATATGAAGGAGGAAGAGCAATAAGAGGGAGAAGGGAGGAGGAGAAGAAGGGAGGAGAATATGAAGCAGGAGAAAGAGGAGGGAGGAGGATAGTAATTACTTGAGACTGTCAAGGTAAGCAAGACCAGACAGAACCTGAATAACTATCAGATGAGAAGCAGAAACTCATCATATCCATCGGAGCAGACAAGTCAACCACAACAATGAAACATGTCTCACAACACTTCAACAACAAGTCCAACATGGAGCTTCACTTCTCATCTCCCACCTGTCTCATGATTGTCCGACATTCTTCTTCACAGAGCGGCCCGCATCTGTTCAGATGAGTCTCGAGGTCTCCTGCAACGCATGTGACTACATCTCACAATGAAGAGCATATCTTCAGTGAATGATATCATGTCCAACAATGAATGATATCATGTCAACAATGGAGGTGTCTTGACATCTTCAGTGAAGATATCATGTCAACAATGAAGACATCTTCAGTGAAGATCATGTCAACCATGAAGACATCTTCAGTGAAGATATCATGTCAACAATGAAGACATCTTCAGTGAAGATGTCAACAATGAAGACATCTTCAGTGAAGATGTCAACAATGAAGACATCTTCAGTGCCTCTCTCACCGTGGCACATCTCCAGCACTGTGCAGAAAGAGTTCTTGTCGATCTCAAACACGTCGAAGAGCCTCACCTGCTAAGTCTCAGCCCCTCGCACACCCTCCCCGAACTGCTGCATGCTGCTGCTGCTGCTGCTGCTGCTGCTGCTGCTGCTACTGCTGCTGCTGCTGCTGCTACTGCTGCTGCTGCTGCTGCTGCTGCTGCTGCTGCGGCTGCGGCTGCTGCTGCTGCTGCTGCTGCTGCCTGCTGCTGCTGCTGCTGCTGCTGCTGCTGCTGCTGCTGCTGCTCCTCCTCCTCCTCCTCCCTTCCTCTCTCTTCCCCATTCAGTCCATCCTCATCATCATCATCATCATCATCATCATTTCCATGTCCTTGCCTGAATCCTCCACGTCCCAGGAGGCCGAGCAGTACATATCGCCTGTTGAAAAGCATTCAGCAAGGTCTCGATAGGCAACAAGAACATTTCATCACTTGTGCAGGATGTAAGGGTTGAGGTTACAACTGTTTCCGATGAATCTGCTCAACCTTTCACATGATTGTCTTCTCAACTCCCTGACATGGATCTGTTTTCAATATTGTCAGTCTTTCTTTCTTTCATCATACTTCTAATCTCACTCTGCACTGCCTGTCTAGTTCCGATCTGCAGTACAAGTCAACATGTACTTGGAGCAATCACAAGAATGAATCTCTTGCCTCTTTGACTGCAACTTCTTGATCTGCTCCTGCAGCAATCTCATCCTAACCTTCAGAATTTCCTCCGAGTGCAGCATGTCGATCTTTCTGGAGTGAAGACATGTCATTGCATGTCTTTGAGACTCAAGAAGTGCCTCCGTGAGTTGACTTGCGATGACGATTTCTTCAACCTCATCAAAGTTTTTTGCAGTCTCCTGTAATTTCTTGAGCAGTAGAAGCAAACGAAGAGAAGGAGGAGAAGGAGGAGGAGGAGGAGAAGAAGACGAGTTGAACACATCATGACCTGTCGATCTTTGCAAACTCAAGCTCTAGAGCTTGTTGTTCACTCTGAATGAAAACTCAGTCACTGTCTTCTTCTCAACTTGTCGCTGACCTTCAATCTGATAAAGTCTGTCCCTTCTACCCAAACCTCCTTCAGCCCGTTCTTGTGGTCCTTTGCGACTGACCGAAATCTCAGCCCGAGCAACCCACCTCGCTTCCTCACTGGTGAAATGTCCCAGCCTTGCGGAGGAGGACGCGATTTCCTCTGCTTTCTTGCTCCTCTTATGTTCTTCTGACTGATAGCAACCAAAATCACTTCGTCTTCAGAGCACAGAGTTTGCAAAACCTGATACATGTGCATGGCCAACTGTTTCAAAGCTCTCTTGTACAGCCTTGACAACCACTTTGCTCGGATCTGATTCCATCATGCATTATTCTTCATCTCGTTTCTGTCTCAGTGTATACCTGCATACCAACAAATCGCTCCATATCTTGCCTCACATCCTCACTCTCTGCAATGTTGTCATTTTCTTTCTCCACTCTCCTCAACATGTACGTCTGGTCAACTCTGCAACCCGTAGCCGCAAGCTCTCCACGCTAATCATGTTGTGTGTTCAGAAAGAGATCGTTGGAGTGCAAACGAGAACCTTTCAGAACAATTGCAGCACCTAACATTGTTCTCAACGTTTGGCCTGTTGGTATCGGCCTCGTGCATGGGCCTGTTGAATGAAACTGATCAGATTATTTTATCTTTCAAATCTTCTTTTCAGCCCTCCCTCCCTCTTCTAAGAATACCTTCCGCTAGATGTCGTTTCCGTCCCCGTTACAGACGATGACGACCTGAAAGTCAAGTTTCATTCCATCAACGCACTGACATCCCCATGGCATCTGTACACCTTGAAGTCAGCTCGAACCTTTGCAGAGACTTGTCCTCCTTGGCAGACATGTTTGAATAGTTGGGATCTGTCTGTAGTTTCACGTCCATGTTAACTGGTTGGACTGCGGGAAGCTGCTTGCTTTCAATTAGGAGGGATCGATAGAGCGCGGACGAGTGGCGTACCTTCCAGGAAGGATGCAGTCCTGTCCTCTGCTGCATCACAGATGCTGAATCCGACCATGACTGAAAGAAGGAGGCGACCAGGATGAACGAAAGCAAAGCACATCTCATCTTGTTCACTCCTCGCCTCACACGACAAGCATTCAACTAGCTCTTTTTCGATGATCAATCAGCGTCTTGATCAAGTTCGGCATACTGTCCGTCACTCTCCATCTTCTTGATCAAGTTCGGCATACTGTCCGTCACTCTCCATCTTCTCTCTCTGCTGAATTGTGTCTTCCCCTCCTCCTCTCCATCCCGTCACATAGCTCGCACCATGCTTTCAAACAAGCGTGTGATTTCAAAAGCTGAGGCGTGAAGATTCAAACTTTCAAACCCAAACTTTCAAACCCAAACTTTCAAACCCAAACTTTCAAACCCAAACTTTCCATCAAACTAACTGTTGCCACCGATCGGACCCGCGGGGCCGGTCGGACCGTACTGATACTATGATGATACCCGGGTCCGCCGACCACTCTCCTGACAGTGATTGGACTCCCTTGCCACGGACACTGACTTCACGCTGTCGCACAGGCCATACGATGAGAAGAGACAAGACAGCTCAGCAGGCGGATCCGAGGCTCTGCGCGGCCGGAGTCCGCGGCTCGGAAGCTCAACTAACGACTCTTCCGAACTTGAAGCCCCCGGCGGCGCTGGGCGGAGCCGGCTTGAAAGATTGAGTTTGAAAGATTGAGTTTGAAAGTTTGAAAGTTTGAAAGTTTGAAAGTTTGAAAGTTTGAAAGTTTGTTCCACCAGGCTCCCAGGGCTCCTGTCGATGGCAGCGATAGCGCTCATGGTCGTCATGGCGTGCTGGGAAGCAGCTGGGGCGATAGAGATCCTCTCGCCGAGACCTCGAGAGCTCTTCTCCTCCCTCCCCGTCTCTCCTCCTCTCCTCCTCTCCCCTGCCATGACGAGGACGGCAGGTGCCGATCTTGATCCGGATGTCAGAGGAGGAGGTTGAGATACCAGGTTTGAGGAGGAGGGTGCGAGGTATAGAGGGATGATGGCGAGAGCAGAGGCGAAGCTGGGGTTGGGGATCAACGGGAGGCATCTCTACGACATCCCTGCCAGCAGCTTGATCGAGGTTTGCTGAGGAGTTTGAGCAGAGTTTGAGCCACAGCCTAACTTGCGGGCAGACGTCGTGCGGAGATTTCAAGGAAGGGTCGAATGAGATTGCTGTCTACTTCATGAGGAGAGACCAGGAAGCTCCTCAAGTGTTTCAGTTCAACATCACGATAAGGCTTGATGCAGATCAGGTGCTGTGTGCCAGGCTGCTCGCCGCCCCCTTGCCTGACCTGCTGCTTGCTGTCAGAACGAGATGATTTTCTATATCCCCCCGAAAGACTCCGCCCACCCTCGTATCCTCCATCACCTCGTCACGCCACGTCAGCAGAGGCCAGACGATGTTCAGCGATGCTACAGCAAGACCTGCTCTGCTCAGGCATGACTGCTGCTCCCTTCCCCTTCCCGACCTCACTGGTGGGCGCAGGGAGGTCACGCGGCACCAGCGTTTCAGAAGCTGCAGGAGTACGTCGAGAGGACGAACAGGCACGTCCATGCGGCTGGTCTCCTGGTCTCATCCTGTCTCGCAGCGTCTGGGAGGACGAGGAGAAACTTCGCAACGCCAAGTTCCTCATAGCTCGTCACTTCCCTACCAGGCAGCCCTGAAGCCTCCTTGTAGTCACTGCGCCAGTGTCTCATCTTGGTTGACAGCGGGATGGGAAACATGTTCCAGTCTCTTGTCTCAGCGTTTCTCGCGGCATATCTGACTGATAGAGTGAGTTTCGTCCTGCCGAACCGCCATGGCCTGACTGACTTCCTGTAGATCTTCCTTCATGATGGGTTCTTGATGGAGGAGTTTTTGGATTTTCCAAGATGTCAGTGTTTGCACAACATTCGCAATCTTGTTTCTCTCACCCTGACTTCCTCACAGTCACCTCAACAAACTACTCACAGATTTTTCACTTGTTCGGATCTCGACACGTCTTCTTGAACTCGCAGTACTTCATGTACACAGGTGTTCAGGTGAGTCAACCCAGAGCAGGACCTAGGGAGCTGACGACTTGATACCAGGACATGATGCTATGCGACGACCTCTCATCTCGATTCAGGTGAGTCCAGCTCTTGCATGACAAAGTCAAGACGTTTCTCTCAGCGAGCAGTTCGTGTTCCTGGAGAGTGATCAGTACTTTGCTGGGCTGCTGATCAACAACGATTACTACGCCTTGGAGTATCCATCCTTGTTTGCTGCTCCATCCCACCTTTCACTGTGGGTATCCAGGTTGCAAAGGCTCTTTGGCGACAAGATGTTTGGCATCATATCAAGCTTCCTGTTCCAACTGCGCCCGGAGATCGACCGGGAGGTCATGCTGACGACTCTGATGACTCGCAAGACACACCTTGACTGTTCCCGGAGCAGGTCACTGAATTCTACGAGGCAAACCTGGCTGGTCGTCGGTCAGTCGGTCTAGTTCACCTGCTAGGAGGAAGAGGAGACGTAACCATCCCAGCAGGCATCCACGTACGAACTCACACGCTGGGTCATCCTGGGTACATCGAGCCCTACTCGCTCGTAGACCATCACGGTCATTTTCTTAACTCGTACTGGTCAGTCTGCTCCTCCTCAGCCCCTTGTTCTCCATCGTGCCCTCTTCATCCTTCTCCTCCACCAATCCTCCCCCTTTACCTTTCTATATTCTTCTCCTTCCTCTCTTTCTCCCACTTCCCCACCGTCTCTCTCCTCTCTTGCTCCCCTTGAACGTTCACCTTAGTTGATCATCCCACTTGCCCAGGAAATGCGCAAGTTTGGCCGGGGGGGCGACGAGCTACGGGGAGGACGAACTGATCCCTGCTGTGCGGCGTCGACCCTCCTACACTCCCTCCCTTCACCAGCTCCTACCAGGTGATGCTTGTCACCGACAACCCTTCCATCCGACAAGAAGCCTACCGCAACCTCGGCGACCAGCTCGTGATCCGAGAGGTCTCGCCGAGAGCTGAGAAATTCCTTCTGACGGCTTTGCGGCAGGGCCCCATCACCCGCAGCAATCTTGAAGGACAGGTTGACTAGCTGAGAGGGGGAGCAGGCAGGCCTGACGCGCCGCCAGCGCTCTGCACTGGTCGATCTTGTGCTCCTTTCCCTGTGTGACGTCATCATCACTACTCAGGTCGTGTCTCCCTCGGACTGTACGGTACCGTTGACAGCCTGGCAGATGAGCACTTTCTCTTACGTAGCTCACGCCCTGTCCTCCAAGGTCCCTTACATCGTCAACTTTCAAGGGGCGTGTGTCAGGTGCTACCTTGGAAGGGATACGTAGGACTATGGTGACGTCACCATGGAAGGGGAAGGGAGGAAGTGGAGGCGATGGTGACGTAACTATGGAAGGGAAGAGGGGATAGAGAGGGAGATAGTGATGGGTCATGGTAGGGACATCTCATCCGAGCCCTGTGTGCATGCATGGCGACATATTGCCGTGGGTTCCCACGTGAGCTGACGCCTCTTGGCTGCCGTGACCTGACTGGCTCTGCAAGTGTCTTCAAGGAGAACTGCCTGTGTCCAGTACCATCGAGACAAGAAACTGCGGGTACTATACGCAGGTATCAAATGCGATGACGATGGTGGGGAACTGAACATGTGTCAAAGCAATCTTTGACAGCACCCAAGAACTGCGAGTGGATCAGTTGAGCCTCTCGGAAACATTTTGCTTGCTAACAGATCTAGCGATCAGTCCCTACATGTAAGATAGAATCGCTCATCTATTATTGTTTCGCTTGTAATTATGTAAATCACATCATCCAATAATCCTGAAAGTCAAAGTAAGGATAGTTTCCTGTTTGTCTTTCCCAAGTACGAGCTTCTCCTTCTTATACAACTGGAAATCCTTGGTCTCAGAAGTTCCATTCCCTCTGTCATACAGTCCTTGCAAAAAGTCGGCGCTGATCCTCACGCTCCCTACCTTGTCGTTCGAGCCAATGATGTTGTAGTCCCAAACCTCTGCTACCATCTCCTTGACCTCCCCTCCTCCCTCTACCTCGAAGTCTAGTCGCTCTCCCCAGTCTGGCGAGTACGTGTTCTTCTTCACCGACGACTTCCGCTCCTCCCCGCTGTAGTTGATCACGCAGTACGCGTCGCAAGTCCCCATCGTGTCCATCTTCGGCAGATGCCGCGCTGACTCTACCACAACCTCCAGCCTCGCCCGTCTCGTCAAGGCTGCGATCGCCTCCTCGTCCCCTGCCTGTGGCTCGATCTCTAGCTCCCCTTCCTTCTCGAAACGCAGCGAGATCTCCGCCTTCTGCTTGTCGTGCCCTACCACCGCCTTGTTGTTCTCGTCCTTGATCTCGAAGCGCCTTGCTTCGCCTGACCTCAAGCACGCCCGTAGCTCTGCCGCACTGATCCTCACGCTCCCTACCTTGTCGTTCGACCCGACCATGTCGTAGTCCCATACGTCTACCGTCATCTCCTTGACCTCCCCTCCTCCCTCTACCTCGAAGTCTAGTCGCTCTCCCCAGTCTGGCGAGTACGTGTTCTTCTTCACCGACGACTTCCGCTCCTCCCCGCTGTAGTTGATCACGCAGTACGCGTCGCAAGTCCCCATCGTGTCCATCTTCGGCAGATGCCGCGCTGACTCTACCACAACCTCCAGCCTCGCCCGTCTCGTCAAGGCTGCGATCGCCTCCTCGTCCCCTGCCTGTGGCTCGATCTCTAGCTCCCCTTCCTTCTCGAAACGCAGCGAGATCTCCGCCTTCTGCTTGTCGTGCCCTACCACCGCCTTGTTGTTCTCGTCCTTGATCTCGAAGCGCCTTGCTTCGCCTGACCTCAAGCACGCCCGTAGCTCTGCCGCACTGATCCTCACGCTCCCTACCTTGTCGTTCGACCCGACCATGTCGTAGTCCCATACGTCTACCGTCATCTCCTTGACCTCCCCTCCTCCCTCTACCTCGAAGTCTAGTCGCTCTCCCCAGTCTGGCGAGTACGTGTTCTTCTTCACCGACGACTTCCGCTCCTCCCCGCTGTAGTTGATCACGCAGTACGCGTCGCAAGTCCCCATCGTGTCCATCTTCGGCAGATGCCGCGCTGACTCTACCACAACCTCCAGCCTCGCCCGTCTCGTCAAAGACTGCGATCGCCTCCTCGTCCCCTGCCTGCTCCTCGATCTCTAGCTCCCCCTCCCTTCTCGAAACGCAGCGAGATCTCCGCCTTCTGCTTGTCGTGCCCTACCACCGCCTTGTTGTTCTCGTCCTTGATCTCGAAGCGCCTTGCTTCGCCTGACCTCAAGCACGCCCGTAGCTCTGCCGCACTGATCCTCACGCTCCCTACCTTGTCGTTCGACCCGACCATGTCGTAGTCCCATACGTCTACCGTCATCTCCTTGACCTCCCCTCCTCCCTCTACCTCGAAGTCTAGTCGCTCTCCCCAGTCTGGCGAGTACGTGTTCTTCTTCACCGACGACTTCCGCTCCTCCCCGCTGTAGTTGATCACGCAGTACGCGTCGCAAGTCCCCATCGTGTCCATCTTCGGCAGATGCCGCGCTGACTCTACCACAACCTCCAGCCTCGCCCGTCTCGTCAAGGCTGCGATCGCCTCCTCGTCCCCTGCCTGTGGCTCGATCTCTAGCTCCCCTTCCTTCTCGAAACGCAGCGAGATCTCCGCCTTCTGCTTGTCGTGCCCTACCACCGCCTTGTTGTTCTCGTCCTTGATCTCGAAGCGCCTTGCTTCGCCTGACCTCAAGCACGCCCGTAGCTCTGCCGCACTGATCCTCACGCTCCCTACCTTGTCGTTCGACCCGACCATGTCGTAGTCCCATACGTCTACCGTCATCTCCTTGACCTCCCCTCCTCCCTCTACCTCGAAGTCTAGTCGCTCTCCCCAGTCTGGCGAGTACGTGTTCTTCTTCACCGACGACTTCCGCTCCTCCCCGCTGTAGTTGATCACGCAGTACGCGTCGCAAGTCCCCATCGTGTCCATCTTCGGCAGATGCCGCGCTGACTCTACCACAACCTCCAGCCTCGCCCGTCTCGTCAAGGCTGCGATCGCCTCCTCGTCCCCTGCCTGTGGCTCGATCTCTAGCTCCCCTTCCTTCTCGAAACGCAGCGAGATCTCCGCCTTCTGCTTGTCGTGCCCTACCACCGCCTTGTTGTTCTCGTCCTTGATCTCGAAGCGCCTTGCTTCGCCTGACCTCAAGCACGCCCGTAGCTCTGCCGCACTGATCCTCACGCTCCCTACCTTGTCGTTCGACCCGACCATGTCGTAGTCCCACACGTCCACCGTCATCTCCTTGACCTCCCCTCCTCCCTCTACCTCGAAGTCTAGTCGCTCTCCCCAGTCTGGCGAGTACGTGTTCTTCTTCACCGACGACTTCCGCTCCTCCCCGCTGTAGTTGATCACGCAGTACGCGTCGCAAGTCCCCATCGTGTCCATCTTCGGCAGATGCCGCGCTGACTCTACCACAACCTCCAGCCTCGCCCGTCTCGTCAAGGCTGCGATCGCCTCCTCGTCCCCTGCCTGTGGCTCGATCTCTAGCTCCCCTTCCTTCTCGAAACGCAGCGAGATCTCCGCCTTCTGCTTGTCGTGCCCTACCACCGCCTTGTTGTTCTCGTCCTTGATCTCGAAGCGCCTTCCTTCGCCTGACCTCAAGCACGCCCGTAGCTCTGCCGCACTGATCCTCACGCTCCCTACCTTGTCGTTCGAGCCAATGATGTTGTAGTCCCATACGTCTACCGTCATCTCCTTGACCTCCCCTCCTCCCTCTACCTCGAAGTCTAGTCGCTCTCCCCAGTCTGGCGAGTACGTGTTCTTCTTCACCGACGACTTCCGCTCCTCCCCGCTGTAGTTGATCACGCAGTACGCGTCGCAAGTCCCCATCGTGTCCATCTTCGGCAGGTGCTGAGCGCGCAGCAAGTGTAAGATAAGTCTTCCTGAAGCACCTTGATGTTGGCCTTTGCCTTTCTGTGTCACTTGCTTAGCTAGTTTTAGCTTCAAGAGAGTCTTTTCTTTGTTATGGCCTTGAACTGGTGCACCACTCTTGTCGACTATTTGCCTTTCGATCTCCTGAATATTTTCCTGCTGGCCCTTTGTCAAGTTTCCGAGCTCGTCCTTTCCGATGCAAAGTTGTCCTACGTGTTGGGCCTTACCGATCTTGTTGTCGTCAAATATCTCGAGCAACAAGTCTTGTGGCAAATCTTTGTTCGTGCCCAGAGGTAATTGGAATTGTTCACCCCATTTCGCTTCGTAGCTGTTTGGTATCACACGTGTTTTGTATGTTTTTCCCTGCCATGCAATTGAGCAAAATGCATCGCATTTCCCGAAAGTGTCCATCTTTGGAAGATTCACAACCGAAATAATTGTAATGACCAAAGAGGAGAATTGTTTGTCCTCCAGAATTTCAAATTTCATCTGCACTTCCCCTAAAGTCTGCTCATCTTTCAAATCTCGGATTTCGCAAGTCACCACTTCGGGTTTGTTTCCATGATTTCCAAGAATTTCCAAGGCTTTCGATATTTCATTGGAACGAAAATCTGCATTGCCAAATGCCGAGCTTTCGGCATTCGACGAATAGATGAAAAACGAGAAATTCAAACCTGCATCAAAGAATGCCTTGTTTAGGTCGATCATGAATCGCTTTTCCCAAATCGCCTTTCCAGAGTTGACTTTCGCCTTGTCTCCTTTGAGCAAATCTGCTCCAGTCTTAATAAGGAAGGACATTTCAGCTTTCTCGTTCGGAACAACAAGATCAATTGCGGAGAGGATATGCAATGTCATCTTCCTGTTGATGAACTTCTCATGCGTGTGATCGATCAGTGCTGGAGAATCTTTCAGTTCAAGTGGTGGAAACCCGTCGCCTAAAAGGAGAGCATCACCATTTTCAGACAACTGGTTGATTAGATGCTCTGCATCATCTCGATCGTTGCAGATAATCCTTAGCTTGACCACAATCCAACGTGCTCGGAGGTCGACGATTTCATAGAAGACTCTTGAGAGATCCCTTGAAGTGACTGACGCTACATGCCGTTTAAATTTCTCATGCATGACTTCTGAGTAACAGAAACTAGGATCCTGACAAGTCACAGAAAACTCGACCTCGAAGAACTTTCGCTCCTGCAACAACTCGACTGCATTCCTTTGATTCTGCAAGAGATCATGCAGATCCTGGAGGAATGACTCCCGCATGTATAAGCCCTCGTTTTGCAGCAGGTTGGAGAGAGAAAGAGTCTGATCTGTAAGATTCTTCACAATTTGACTCTTCATTCCATCCAGGCTTGATTTTTGTTGTTTGTTCTTTGTGAACATGCTGAGCATTCGTTCGAAAGCCATTTTTTCTTCCTGTGCTCGTTGCTCCTCCAAAAGCTTCAACTGCGCTAATCTCTCCTCTTCGGCTCTTCTTCGTTCCTCTGCAATTCGCTTGCGAACACGGAAACCTCTGTACAGCGCTTGGATCTTTGTGACAGCTGAAGTCTTTAGCGCCATAAAGGCTTCAGCATCTAGAACAATCTTCCAACAATACATAGTCAGGTCATGATGACCAATGCTCAATATCATTTCATCTGATGCTATTGCCTCACTCGTGAAGACAACAGACCCGACTTTACCCGCATGAGACGGACTAGTAGCCATGATGCGTGATTTATCTGTCTGTTTCACATCTAAGGATGGGCAGAGAAAGATGTGACCCTTCTCGTCTCCGAGCAAGGATATCTTCAGGTTGGGATCAGACTGGGCGGTCACAGTTGCCTTCCCATGAAAGACTTCTTCGACAAGATTCTGTTCATAAGGCTCCGATGACATGCTCGACCAGCCAGAGCGACTAGAGGGATCATCTAACCATGTCTTGAAGCCTTCCCAGAGGGATCGACTGTCTGTTCCCACGCTGTCTGGCTGAGATAGGTCAAGACCTTCAACAGAAGGCATGAGGATTTGAGGTGGGTTACAACTCCAATGAATCACTTCACTTGATACCGTCTTAGTTCGAAGGTACATGCCACCCGTTGACCAATCAATATTGGTAATATAACCAGCGGTAACAACAGAAGGCAGGTGAGTAGTTTCCTCCGACAGAGAACCATGTGTTGAAAGGGAGGTGAAGATTCCTCCAGTGATGATCTTCGTGATTTTTTTGCAATCGGCATGCTCCATCCTCACTACCCCGAAGGCAGCAAATTGATTGTTGGGACTAAATCTCACTGAAGTGACAAAATTCAGATTCGTCCGAAGTTCTTGAATGATATTGAGAGAAGCTGAATCAACAAGCAAAACATTTCCTTGCATCGTTCCGAGAGCAATATGCATTCCTTCAGGTGCCCAGTCAGCACAGATGACATACTCGTTCAACATTTTCCTAGCTATCAGAGGTTTCTTACTTCTTGAGCGAAGATCCCATCGCATCACAGCTCGATCACTTCCAGCCGTGACACATTGTAAGTCTGACGGATGGACGACCAACACTGTGTGAGGGAAGCCGAATAGTCTGTACAAGTCGTAGGAATCAGGTTTGCGGATTGATTGCAAATGACCTGATTGAAAGAGTTTGTCGTAGGGTCCACACTGTAAGCTGATGTCGGAGGCAGAGAGGATTGGCGATTCTCTTGAGACTTCAAAATTGGCATTGGGCAGGAAGCTCTTCAGCTTGTCGATCTCTATTCCTTGAGCAATCTGAAGAAACCCTTTCACCTTGCGATCTGTCGAAGACGACGTGAACTCATGCCAAGCACGAGGAGCAGAGCCCTGGTTCTGCCTGCCGATGTCTGGATCAATCTTTGAGCGGTTGGAATAAATAATGAAAGTCGACTGAGCTGCCAGATCTTGCAATCGTTCGAGATCATGATCCGTTGGATCCATGAGGGTGAACTTCCAGTTCTGAGAGACTTCAGAAGGTTGAACGATCTGCGTGTGGCTGCATGTGATAAGCTTGATGATCCCAAACCTGCTCATCTCCAGATCGATCAATTCATTGTTGGAAAACCCAAGGACAAGGTGCAAACCGTCGTCTCGTATCACTGGACAAATAATCCTCAGACAGCTTCCATTTGTCTCACCGCGGGTATACGGAACATTGCTCTCTGGACTGGCGGTACTGACCATCAGCGTGTTTACATCCCATGTCTTGATCATCCCATCCTTTCCGCCAGTGTAGATGATATTCTCCTGCAGGCTGACCTCGAACACACCTCCAGCATGTAACCGCCTGATCCTGTTGTTCGTCTTAAGCCCATACCACACCAGAACATCGCCGTCGCTCATCCCCGTCACCATCACTTTCCTGTTCACAAACACTGCACAAGTCGCAAAGACTGGATCTTCACCATCTGCTTTGTGTCTGATCTTCCCCTTCTGCTCTGTCAGACTGGCTTCCACCTTCGTCTCCTGCCTCACAAGCTTCAAACTCCAAAAGGAAACGTCCGCCATCCCGCAAGAAGCTCCACAGATGACCTCCATGTCACTCCCTTCCTCTCCCTCGTCGTAGAAAGGATTCGCTGCAAGTTCCCAACACGGGGCCCCATCTTTAACCCTAGCAACGGCAATCCTTTCCATCCGCACCCAATCCCACATGCTGACGGTGTCGTCTGCTACATGTCCACCTAATGTGAGGAGGTATCTTTTCATGCAGAAGGACAACCTGGACACGCTGTGATCATGTTGCAGAAGAGAGAATCGATGAGCATCGAGAGTCCGCCAGACGTGGACTGCACCTTCACTTCCTGATTCACCTGAAGCTACCAACATGTGATGATCACGGTCGGCAGTGATGTAGTCATCCCTCTCCTTGATCCGATGTTTGGTCTCTACCACCGATATGCAGTGGACGTCCCTCTTGTGTTGTGTGTATATTAGCTGTTTCTCCTTGTCAAGGTTGTAGACGACGCACAGCTTGCCCGAGAAATAAACAATACAGCCTTTCTCAACGCAAAAAACATTCTTTCGACAATCAAAACCTCGATAACCATGAATAAAAGTGACAGACAGATCTTTGTCTTTCATCCATTCGTTCTCATTCACTTGCCCACTGTTGATCGTTGGAAGATCGTTGTTCGCTTCTTCGAAGTCAGTAATGCCTCTGGAAGGCAACACGTCTTCAGGATACATCTGACATTTTTCCATCAAACTTTGGAGCTCGGCGCCGAGAACACCCTTAGACACAGAAAGCTTTTCCTGATTGCTAGAATCCTGTTTTTGCGATCGAAGCAACTGGAATTGAGCCACGCAGAATTCTTCAGCCATCACAGCAACAACAGAATCTTTCTCTCTCAGCTCAAGGTGTGAGCTTCGACTTCCGGCACATCTAAGCATGTGAACTGAAGTCGAGTACGTGTCAAATACTTTCATGTCAGTGTTTTCTAAACTGGGATAAGATGACATGATGATCTTATTCGTGTTGCAACCAGCAAGAATTAGATCATCGAAGCTTCTGTCAACAGATGTGATGTGGTGGTCTTGAATCTCTCTGGAGTACAATCCTACCATGGGCCAGCCTATCGGGCAATGCTGTGTATCCCAGTCAGAATTTCTGACAGAAGTCTTGCTTCCAACGACTTTACATTGATCAACTTCAAGGAAAACCAGTTCGAAATTGGAAGTAGAAATCTGAAGAAAGCTCGAACATCTGCTCCAATCAATGTTCGTTACATGCCCCGAGACAACCAACTGCTTTCTTGTGCTGAAGACGTAATTTGAAAAATCTTGCTTAGAGTATATTTCAATCAGATTCTCGCTGTTCGCAACTGCCAATTTCAAGCCATCACTGCTGTATTTTACAACTCGTACGTCAGACGATCCGAGCTCTCTCAAAGTAAAAAGCTCTTGTAGACCGGAAGCTGAAAACCCAAAGATCTTGAGAATTCCATTGGTTAGGCCTGCACAGAGATGTTCATTTTCACCAGGGGAGATGTCAAGACAGCTAGCAGTATGCTGAATGTCAGCTGGGGCACCACCAATCCTGCACACGACATGTCGATTGATGATCCTCTTGGTCTCGAGGTCCCACAACCTCAAAGTCCCATCTGATCCACTTGTTGCGAATATTGGTCTTGAAGGATGGATACAGACGGCAATAGGCGTGTTAACATGTGCGGAGATGACGCATTCACAGTCCGCCATCACCGACCCTCCTTTGTGCAAGCTGACCTGCAAGTTGCATGTTAGCCGACCGAGAGGTTGTTTTCCATCAGAAGGATTCGCATGTTTCAGCATGCAAGTAAGGCAAGGGAAATACAAAGGCTGGTCCACATTAGAAGGCTTCTCACCTGATAAACTTCGTTCGAGTCGAGGCCAACAGTGATGGTGGCAAACAGGGATTCCTCTGAAAGGCGAACGACAAGTGAAGAGATGCTCACCGGCCTAGCGTGTAATCCTTTTGATCCTTCAGTATTCGTTGGAAAATGCACCTGAGGGCTTGCAGGAGAAGGCAATTTTTCCGTCTCTTGCTTCAAGTGAATCTTTTGCATCATTTCTCGGCAGTTGATGGACCCCACAAGAGTCAGAAATTCTCGCCCTGCACCTTTCTGTGCCAGCGAGAAAGTCCACAGGCGAACAACTCCATCTCTACTGCCACTGTAAATCAAATCCTCTCGGCATACCAACTGCATGATTGGCTTTGAGTGTGCTCCCGTCAAGTTGTGAATAACAGCTGAAGTTTTCCACAGGTAGATGCTTCCATCTTGCATGCCGCTGACCGCATGAGCCCGATCCAAGAACGCGACGCTGCATGCCGTCTGGAGGGTCCCAACATCTCCGACAACTCCATACCTGCTGGTCAACTCCTTTTCTGCAACCGTCCAGAACCTGTCAACACCAATTAATGTTGACATACCAGGCCATTGTAATTTCGACACGACAAGCTGATGACACATACATTTCGTCATGATGACAATCACTGACATTTATACAGACATGTCTGGCACATCGACTAAATATTCTATGTCCACCACTCTCTCCACCCTCAAGTCTCAGCTTACCTCACACAAGAGCCACCGACTGTCGCAAACATGGGAGGATCATTCTTGCTGATGAAGGGGTTGAACTTCAGCTCAAAGATCACACTTTTCCCGCTGCTTGCTTTGGCAACCAGAGCTCCTTCCTCCCACTTCCACACGAAGATGTCCCAGCTGCAATCAATGGCAACGACCATGTCGTCGCGAGGAGAAAACTGCGTAGAAACAAAGTAATACTTCTCGACGGATGAAACCTTTTCTCCAGTCACTTCTAGCGATCCGAGTTGCATCATGTTCTGAGAGTCCCATACAAAGATCTGATTTTTCTGTCCGACGCTGCATGAAACAACTCTGACCAATTGGTGGTCAATATTGAAGCAAGTTATTTTCTTCGAATGTTTCCGAAAGAACCTCTGTGTGCGTGTCTCCTTGTTGAGGACAACTACAACCGACGAAATGGCATAGATCAGTTCCCCAACAACGTTGATGTTCAGGTTCCCTTGCTGTTTCGCCTGGTTGCATCCATAGATGAACTCGAGCTGCAAGGAAGCAGTGGGAGCACCACGAGACGCCTCTCCAGGATCAACCCAGCCATCTGGGGCAAAGGCTTCTGCTTTCCAGGGGCTCGTGGAAGAGATGTATTCTTCCATTCCTCTGCGAAAATTCAACGTGATGTCCATCCCTCCTTTCCCTGGTGCTTTGATCGAGGGAGCTCCTCCCACATACGCACGAGATTGTAAGTTCCATGCTTTCTTCAACTCCCTGATGGCGTGGAGGATGGTGAGCCGAACGTCCAACCTTGCGATCTCGTAAGGATGGCTCTTTAACAAACTGCTTCCGGTGGAGGCATCGAGGCTCATCAACCGCTCTCCATTGACGCCAACATTGCGAAACAATGCTGGGATGTGCTTGGGGAGCTTCGGGGACCCACTCTCGGTTCGGAGGGAGAGCAACCAATCATGGACGTCTGCGGCGGACCAGCTGTAAACGTTCTTGTTGACGAGATGACTCATGGTCTTGAATGAGTGTCAACCTTCATCTGTCCCCGCGTCTCATCTCTCTCTTCAACCCTTCCTCTCTCATATTCGCCCTCCTTCTTCTCTCATATTCGCCCTCCTTCTTCTCTCATATTCGCCCTCCTTCCTCTCTCATATTCGCCCTCCTCCTTCTCTCATACTCGCCCTCCTCCCGCTCCTCTCGTTTCTCCCGCCATTTTCCCAACAACTCCCCGAAAACTTCGACTACCCAACCAAACTTGAAGCACTGAACTAAACGGGCCGGAGCGCCTCAGTGACCGGGGCCTTCTGGCAAGTTGCGGCCGGGCCGCCCGGGTCCGATCAGTGGGTGGGCCACCCGGACTGAGGCCAATGTGTTAGGCCACCGAGATAGGATTGAGTTACACTGACGGTGTCCGGTGTAAGTAATAGTCGATGATACATAATCGATGATACATTAGACTTTTATTAAGCCAAAGGCTTGAGATATTTGTCAACAGCCTGCTTCACGTCCTCAGCGCTCTTCACCTTCTTCTCCACCTGCCTCTGAATGCTCGCAGCCACCTGATTGGAACCTGTGTCAAACTCCAACACATCTTCAAAGAGTCTCCATGGTCAAGCCTCACCTTCTTTAGATCCTCCTGCACAGCACTGAGCTTCTCGGCCGCAACGACGGGGTTCACTGCATGTGAGCGACTCTCCTTGATGGAGCGGGAAGCTTTACTTGTTCCCCCCTGCTGCCATCAAGTCAATTTGAGCCCCTTAAGACTAGAGGGACCAACCTGAACAGCCTCCTCGTACTGAGCCTTGGCCGCCCCCAGGAGCTTGATCCTCGACTGTACGTCCTTGGTCTTGAGCGCGTCCCTCGCCACCTGGTCGGCTACCCGGATCTCGAATTCTTTCTTGCTCAACTTGGGAGCAGTAACTTGACTCTGCGTGGCAGCATGGCGCTGCTGAGGGTGGGTCGCTCTTGTCTTCTGATGGGAGGGAAGGCTCACAGGTTTACCGGAGACGAGCGACTCCACATCGTCCACGGCCATGTCCAGAGGATTCTTCGCATGATGCTCCTGATGCCTGACCTGCTTGGGAGCGGCATGAATGGAAGACTTCCTGGCTAGTCTGTGAGCTTTCCCCGCTTCCAATGCTGCGATCTTCGCCTCATCATTGTGGATCTCATGTTCCAACCTGTGAAACTTGTTGGCATCGGCGTTCTTCCTTGCCATCTGTGCCCTTCCCCTAGTAAAATGCAGAGCCGCAAGCAGCTGCTTCGACAACCCGCTGTTTCTGGTGCGCTTTGCAGAAGCGTCGCTCAGGAAATCCTCCTCTCCATAGGAATTTGCCGTGTTGATCGCCCGCGTGCCATCGCTGTCCCAGTCCATGTAGTGCAGTGGGCGGTACCGTGCCGAGCCCTCATCGCCGATGACATGATTCTTCTCGTCAGGGTACGCGTAACCCAGAAGCTGGTCATTCGCGTTCTCAGACCCGTGCTCCTCCACCCAATCGTACCCTGGGCTGAGCCCATGGAAAAATTCACCGTAGTGGTCCTGAGGACCGAAGCCATAGTGCTCACCAAAGTGTTTGCCGTAGCCGTTGGAATAGACTTCACGGTCGTCATGGTAGTGGACTGGAAAGTGATAGCCGTAGTACTGGTCGTCACACCAGGGATCGTCGATATACTCTCGTCTGTGGGTTCCAGTCTGCACCCAATCGAAGAACCATTTCCTGTCGAAACCATCGTTGTCTGTGGGGAGCGGGCGATACCTCTCGGGATCGTCGACATCATCACAGATGTACTGTTGCTTTCCTGTTCGAGGATCGATCTGTGGTGAGCAAGATTAGTGTCCAGTCGTTCGAACGCTCTTCAACATACCCAGTAGCCATCATCATAGTGGCGTTCGACCCAGTTCTCTCTTCGATGCTCGCCATATCCCAGATCATTGTATACGTGATGATTGCCGTTCCTGTCTCCAGACACGAATCCGAGCTTGTGAAACCTGCGCTTTCCCATGGGGTTGGATAGCATCTTGGCTTTCGCTAAATCCTGATCTGCCTTCATCAAGTCCTTGGCAACATCCGAAGAAGACTGAAGGACTGAAGGAACTCTGGATGACCAGGTGCTAATCATGAGAAGAGCCGCGATGGTCACAGCGGCCATGGATACGATAGCCGTGCGAACTACCAACATAGCTCCTCCCTTCCGATCCAAACGAGGAACCTTGGCTGATCCTGAAGCAACAAATGTCAGCTGCGTCCTCACACATGGTCTCTTCAGACTAGAGAAAGGCATTCGCCCCTCAAGCTATGTCAAGATTGATGGATATCGGACTGCTTCAATGAATGCCGCCAACTATGATATGATCTTTTCTGTTCTCAGACACCATTTCCCTCACGTCGTAATTCGATCTCTCTCGCTCAACATAGGCTGCCCCCCTCTCTGTACTAATCAATCATTCTTGCTTCCTTGTCTGTGTTGCTTCCCATTGCATCTCATTTCTTGATAATCACTTCCCTCTCCCCCCGTCCTCCTCCACATCAACTCTTGCTCTCTCTCCCTCTCTCCTTCATTTCAATGTCTGCCATCTCGTCCGCTTCCCCTCCTCCCCATCTTCATCCAACCACTTACCATATTTCAGGTCTGCCATGGCTCTTCGCGCAAATCCACAACCTGACCCCCTCTATGACCTTCTTTTGCTTCCCAAAGAAGGGGTAGGGGTGATCGATGATCAAGGTGAGTAAAGGTATCAGTTAAGTTTGGGGGACAGCAATCGGCACCATGAGGGTTAGTTCTCGCTGTCTTCTCTCTTCAGCCTCGGAGCTGGCGAGTGTGCGGCAGGGCCGCATCAATCAATGATGCGCGGCGGCGGCCCGGCCTGTGCCACACTGAGAAGTGCCAGGAAAGGCTGCCCGGGCCGCCGCGCGGACGCCTTGTGTTCGGAAGTTCACCGGCGGCGGCTACGGCGGCGACTCAGACTCGCCGCCGCCCGCCGAACGGGCAAGTTACCGGCGGCGGCCCAGTGCCGCCGCGCCCGGCCACAGTGCGCCGGCGCGCACCGACGGTCGTGAACCGGTCGGTGACTCGTCAGTCCGATCACGACTGGCCGCTGTGACACTGCGGCAGTCGGAGCCGGGGCCTCACCGTGGCACTGCGGCGGCCCTGTTGAACGGTTGAGGGCCGAACTTCCGACGGAAGTTCGGGTGACTATCGGATACTAGATTCAGAGGCTAAGGTGTTATTTTCAGTTTCAATGGCTCCATCATGATAACATATTTGCAAGCTGAAGGAAATTTGGCCCAGTGGCTTGCCTGAGCTGGCCGCGCCGTTAAACATGCCCCGCCGCATAACATGCCCGCAGAGCCAGAGGCATCCTGGCAGTTGAATACTATTGTGGCATACTTCACTTCGACTCTACATTCCGTCGGCTCCCTGGTCTTCGCTGTCGCTTTCAGCAACACCATATTGAGGTTCAAACTGCAAGGAACGCGTCACGAATGAGAACACAGGTGTTCAACCCATGAGTCATCACATACCTTTTGTAGGCTGAATAGCGCATGCGCTCTTGCCTTCAATCAAAGTCATCAGTATTTGCCCGATACTCTTCCGACGCAGAAAGTCAATCACCTCGCAAATCGCCAACTCTCCTGAAACAGCAGCGTCAGAGCCACAACTCCAAAAGCTCGTCGACTTCCCCGATGCACTTTAACTCACCTCGCTCAGTAAGTAGACTCTTGAGGATCTGCTGCAAGTCCAGCTGTATGCGCTTCACCACAGGGCACAACTATCAACCATCTCCATGTCAGTAGCTGCCGACATTCACTCTCTCGTTTCACCCTGGCAATCTCGTCCAACGACAACTTGGAAAGCTTTTGCTGGAACTGTAACAACGGTCTCTCTCAGTCTCATGTTACACCCGCTCTCTCTCTCCCCCTTTCTCTCGCTTCTCGCTCCTGCTCTACCTCTCACGCATACCTCCTGCATCCGAGCAAGCTCTATTTGTTTCTTGGTCCTGCGATTTCTCCTCGTTGTAGATTGCCCTTGCTCCACCACTGCGGTGAGAGCTGGTTTGACGTCTTGCATGGCTTTCTGGGGATGCGAGAGGATCTCTGCTTTGGCTTCAGAGACCTGTGGAGCTTGCTCCCGGGTGGGGATGACACTGGGTGGTTCGATCTTGATGTACTTTGTTCCAGGATGCTGTTCTTCAACACAGTGCTCCTCTAAAGGGTCGGGTTGCTGATGTTTCCTTTTCAAAGACTCTAGCCCGAGGCTTGCTGAGTCGTTTGCCGAGGGTCGTATGGGAGTTGGTCTTGCAATTGCAAGGAGATCTCGTGCCGGTGCTGCGACCAAGGTGGTGGGTGGCTGCTGAAACATGTAGGTGCTGCCCAGCGCGTTCATCAGGTATCTTGCGAGCGAGTCGTCAAGAGGGCGAGGGAGGGAGGAAGAGGAATCGCTAGACTGGTGCAACAGGGAGGAGAGGAGGTTGTCTGAGAGGGAGGAAGAGGCGTTCTCCGGCATCATCCGCGCCGATCGATTGGGCAGGGACATGAAGAAATGGGGGAAATTGTCGGGAGTGGCTGTTTGAAGGGGTGGGGTAAAGATATTAGAAATAAAGTACCGGTAGTTTTCTGCTGAAATGCAGGGGTACTGATTTCTATGGGCTGTCGCTTTTAGCGGGATATGGTAGGTCCTGGCTTTTTTTGTCTAGTAGGGGTTCTTTGTGATATGAGTACAAGACAACCGGTGTTTCTCCACGACAAAATAAGGATAAAGAAGGGTGGGGGTGATATGAAACTAGCACCCTACCCAGTGATTTGGACCCTGCATTTTATCGATAAAACATGGATAATTTTTTTTACGATCGAATTGTGTGGGGAAGAGGAGGGTAGGGTGGGTGGGTGCATGGATTGGCGATCAAAAGATGCGAGGAGGTTTATTTTAAAAATTGACCGGCACAGTTCGAACACGTTCAAAAAGTCAGATTTTGTTGATAAAATTCCATCGCCTCCATAATATGCATGCTATAGATTTGATTTTACTGAGAGATATTTCAGTGTATATGTCAAAACGATTCCATTCAATTTCAAATGAAATACAACCATCAATCTCAAGAACACCTGAACTTCGGAAACGAGCTTTTTACTTTACTCAAAGTTAAGTTAAAGATCATCAGTACGAGGACAATCGGTCACTGTGAGCCTGACCAGTGAGGAGAGTTGAGACGGTGCGGCCGCTGGCGGCCCGGCCCGGCCGGCCCGGCACCGGCACCGGCCGCGACAGGCCACGGCTCCCGAGTCTCGGACAGGAGACAGCTCGGCACGGTCCTCAGCCAGGCCCAATCAGCCGGGTCCTCCGCCGGGCGCGGCGGCGCAACAGTCTTACCGTACTGGCACTGAGCCCGGCATCCGATGTCACGTGATCGGCCGCCAGGACGCGCAGCGGGATGACTCAGTACGCCGGTCGGTGAGTCAGTCTGGCACGGCGAGGCCCGGCCCGTTGTGACTCAGTCAAGTCAAAGCCGCCGCTCAGAGGGCCGCCCGGCGGCACTCCGAGGCTCCGGCCCCACTGGGCCGCAGTGCGCCACCTGAGCCTGTGAGTGCGGCACCCGGCGCCGCCACCGTGCCGGACGGCGGGTGTACGTGACTCTTGAAGTTTAAACTCAGCATCGGACTCGTTAGGGAATGATTGAAAGAGCGGCGAAAAGCGAAATGATGAGTTTGTATGTATTCATTCAAAGATTTCAGTGTTTTACATGATGTGCGTGGTATGTTTTACAAATGTGAGCCTTGACGAATAATTGATTGATTGCCTGGGAGGAGACTGTGTGCTGAACCGTGAAGGTGAGGAAAGAATTGAGATGTCTTAGAACCATTTCTCATCAGCCTATTGCCAAGTACCAGGTTAGACTTGCCCATTGATCAGGAGAAGCCGCACGTACCGTGGAGTTTGAGATGAGGAAAGCGATGTTCATTCTAATGCTGCATGAGTCCACCTCTCGTCGCAGGCCGTAGGACTTCTCAGGGATGACGGATGAATTCTCTTTCTCGTATCTGTTTGAGATGTTTTGAAGCTGATTTCCGCTGTAATACAGAATCTGACACAGAGTTTCAGACTCCCATCAAACCGAGCGCTGGGCATATCATCATACCTCGTTCGCTCCACCCCATACAAGTTGTTGGGCGTCTAAGAGGGTAGGAGAGCTCGAAGAAGTCGGCGACAGGTTGATATTGCTATAATCGTGCGCTGATTCCACAACAGCGATGAACTCTTTCATGTTATGCCGGACCTAAGGTTCGGACAGTGTAAGTAGCCGCCTCTGAGGTGTAGTCTACTTCGCCTCACCTTGCGGTTTCTGCGGATGAAAGGAATGTCCCATCCAGCATCCCTCAGCCTCACGATCTTCTGTTCGCATGCTCTGAAGTCCTGGCCGAAGACAAGTCAGCAAAGCGGCCAGAAACTGAAGCGCCAAGTTTTCGCCCTCACCTGCTTCAATGAGCCATTCTTGTTCGCTTCTCTGACTAGGTCGCGGAGTACAGCACCTGTTGCTGCTCCTTGTTTCCAGATTTCGACAAGAAGCTTGGTTTCCGCATCGGTCCATTTGGTTCCTCGGGTGGAGACTTTATCATTTAGCCTGGGCTGTGAGTGTTCGAGGTAAGCAACAAAACTGCAAGATAAATCGCAAGCAGACCTGCATCATTGCTGTTGCTGATTAGGAGGGTTCGATACTTGCTTCTGATATGCAGCAAATTCACAGGATCCGGGCAGAAAATCTAGGTTGGAACAGAGCAATTGATGCCAGTGTGCTTCGTGAATGAAGGCCACGAAACGAATCCGAAGATCTTCGTTTGTGAAAGAAAGCCTGAAGTCTAGAAGAGAGAGAAGATCAGGAGATCTAAGACTAGAAGCTTGGAGATCGAATCGACTTTAGTGTCGATATGATTCCACTGAGCTGGACGCCGAATGCAGGATTCCGATGTGGGATACAAGTTTGTGGATTCGAGAGAAGGAAGAGGGATCGTATGTGTGCAGGAGGGGCAGGTAGGTGTCAAAGGCACTTGGAGAGGAAGAGGAGGGAGGCGATCTAGGAACTGGCCTGATCAAGACGGGGGTTGAGATTGGGCAAGGGAGGGGGGGGCAGCGCTAAAGATCTAGAACAAGCCCGTGTGCATAGTAGCGTGTTCGTAAGCAGAAGGAGTTGTGGGGTGGGGTGATCTTGTGGGGGAGTGGGTACTCCAGGGGAAGAGTTTATCCCTGAGGGGTACGGGTCCTGGCACATCGGTAGGTAGGGTAAAAAGTCGATGCATTAGGGTACCACTTTGTAGAGAGTGGGTGGGGGTGTATTTGGGTTGTGACTGAGCTTGTGTGGCTATCTGAACGTCCAGGGTAGGCATATGGTGGAAAATATATTGAGAAAGAAAATAGAAAAGTTTCTTCCTGGAGCCAAAGGAGACTGACCAGTTACACAGCTAAACAGCGAAATGAAAAGATTGAAGAACATGGGTGGTATCAAGAATCTCTTGCATGGTGGGGTAGGTCATCTTTACGAGCATGGTGGTAATGATAGGGCCATAAGACTTGTAGGGTGGGTGGAGTATTTTACTGTGGTCTGTGTAGGGTAGTCAGGTGTAGGGAATCGAGGGTGGGGTGGCATCTCCATTCGTTGTGGTTTTGAGACTTGGTTGAGAAAACGGGGGAGGATCAGAGGGGTAGGGGTCCTGGTGTTTTTTGTGAAGTGTGGGAGAATACACACCAAATAGTAGGGTAGGGTCCTGTCATGCGGCTCCACGTATCGAGCTTATATTCAGTTTGAGGGGGTAGGGGTTAAAAGCAGGTGGGTTGGGTCTAGAAATCTAACAAAAGTTATGAATTTATGCGTTGAAAAAATTCAAATTAAAGAACATAATTCGAAAAATATTTCAAAGATGGAAAGGGCGCTAGTATCTTTGTTGAATTGGTAGGGTCGTTGTCAATACTATATAAATGGGGGCGAAAGATTCTCCTGGGGGTAGGTGGGATGTCCAAAATGGTAGCTTGGAGGTAGGGTGAAATAGGTTGAAAGTTGGGTGGGGGTATGTGGCACGGCTCCTGTACATTGATGATTTTGTAGGGTGGGTACTGACCCCTACCCACCTTGTGTTGACTAGGACCCCAGTGAGAAAATCTTCAGGACACTTATGGATTGATGGAAGGGTGGGTGCATATTTGAGGGGGTACCAAGGGTCTTTTGACTATTGCATTTTGGAAGTTATCACCCGTGGGTGGTAGAGCTCGATCTCTTTTTGAGGGTGAGGCACAAGAAGTTAGGGTGCACTCAGACCACCCGTGTCAATTAGTGGGGTGGTATGACTCACAAGGTGGGTGGTCAAGAGTTTGTGTGATTCTCAGTCTGTTCTCCCGCCCCAAGTAATTTTACTAATACTTTTATGAATCAATCAGTACCCCCACCTACTTAATCGTTATAGTACCCGTCCGATGGATTTACCACCCCTCCGAATTTACTCTGTGACCAGGAATAAGACTCTTTGATCTGTACCCCACCCATACTATATACTTCCTCCTCAAAAGTACGGGTCCTGAAAGATGTTCTTTGTACACTCCCTCTGTCACGCCTTGCCATGGAGAGGTACCTGGATCATGACCCCACCTTCGTCATTTACCACCCCCTTCAGGACCAGGGAACCCCCTGGGATCCACTTTTTCTTCGTCCGATTCCGTGCACTTCCACCCACTACATATGTACCCGTACTATACCTTGACTTTGACTGGGTGGGGTACTTCGATAAACAATTGTGACAGTCTGGGAATACGTATCGAATGATCACAGGTCCCCTACCCCCTGATTTGATCTAAATTATCACCCTACCCCCCATGAAAGAGGTTCTAAGATCATTTGCTGCGCCTTCCCATCACTATACTCATATCACTTATTGCTTTTCCCGAAAGAATGCTGCTCTACTGTACAATCTTTCCGAGAAATGATCACCCACCCTAGAAATTCTATGAAGTACCCCACCCTATGCACCTTTTGCTTGTTTACACACCGTTTCGTCACCCTGCCAACTCACAGTCATCTCCATCGTCCCCACCACCCTGAGGTCAAATCGTACAAACCCACCCTGTGTTCTCCCCTTCTAAGTACGGGTGGGGTGCTCCTTACTTTTACAACTCGTGGTTCTTTTTTCCTTTCTTTTTTTTTTAGCACGTAAAGCGTTTAGAGGGGATCTGGGGTCAACCACCCCACCGGGTAGCAGCCGCAGGAATTTTGTAAAAGTACCGGGTGCTCTGTACCAAGAGGGAGCCTCAGCCTGGGCCACCCCTTTCGTGCCTGACATCCCTCCCAAGGTCCGAAGGGTGGGTCAGCAGACACGTATAGTTCAACCAGGCTTTAACTTAACTTTGAGTAAAGTTGGCTGAGCTGGTACTATGATTTAACTTAAACTTTGAGTCTCCCGGCCCGGCCCGGCTTGACTCCGACCCCGCGCCCCGCCGCGCCCCCCGGCGCTCAAGCCGTGACTACCAACGGTCCTCGTTATTGACTTTACTCAAAGTTAAGTGAAAAATCAGTACGATATCACGTAGAAAGCGAACTTTACTCAAAGCTAATTAAAAATCAGTACGAGGACAATCAGGAGAGTCGATGGCCCGGCCTGTGCCGCGGTCGGACCGGGTAACGGCGAGTCTGCTGATCGGATCATCATGTGATCGCCACCGTAGCCGCCGGTGAACACGTCCGGGCAGCCTCCTTTCATTGAGAAGGCAAGTTCAACAGGACCAATCTACCGGCGTGCCAACTTTATGTGCCCGATGTGCTGCTCTTGGACACCTTCTAAAGATTGGAATACATTGTCTGTCTGCAATACATGCGTAGATATGTATGTTGTATGGAGGTGCTCTATGTGTGATGATGTGTTTGAGCACCGCGACGCAATAGCAATCACAGATTATTGCCATGGACGCTTTATAAAGGTGCCATACTGCAAGAGATGTGATGAAGAGGAGCTCATGCTGGTATTGTGGAGAGATATACAATCCGTGTAATGGATATGATAAGGACTATTCCTCAAATGGTTGAACGTCTGCAGACGATTGGAGAGATTAGGCTACAAGAATCCAGGGGGTACATTTTACTAACTGTGCACCCTTATATTTTTTGATCAATGATTGGATTTTCATTCAGTTTACAAATCTCTAATACACTCTCCACAATCTAGCCTTCTTCTCTTGGGGCTACATTCTTCATCTTGTGTCTTGCAGTCCTTGCAATTAAACCTTCGGTTTTTGTGTATGCATATAGAGCCACCACCACATTCTTTGCATACGCTTCTTACTGTATCATGCTCACATATAGAACCGACTCCACACTCCTTGCAATAGCTTCTTACTAAAACAGACTAAAACAGACTAACAGACTCTGTTGCAAGGAATGTGGTGGTACTACGGCAGCTCGAGGAGCGTTCAACAGGACCTGAGCTCAACCGCAGACGCGTGGGTGGTGTTGTGCGGACAGAACTACCAATACCGGAAGTTTTATCTCAATGGCGTAGAGTATGACCGATCAGCGCGAGCCTGCCAGACAGTCTGCAGCTTGTCATCAACGACATCAGCTGGCAGCTTGGCAGCGGTTACGTGATGGCATCAGATTGGGCGTTGAGCGAGTTGGCAATCTGGCGAGGAGCGCTGCGAGCAGAAGAGATACGAGCTGTGTCGGAGCACTCAGGCTTGATGCAGAAGCTGTCAGCCGGCAGCAGCGCCGTCTACAACGAGCCCCTCAACGTGTCGTGTGACAACTTTGACGTCGCAAACAACACCATTGCTCCTGCTGCTGCTCTAGGACGGTACCTCTACGCATTTCAACTGCTCCGACGCTAGTCTGGGCGGCCCCCAGGGATCCTGCGACTCGTCAGTGGGCCCCGCAAACGCCTCCGTCGCCTTCGTGCAGCTCCTCCATCAGCGCACTTGCACTGGTTTGCAAGTGCGCTCAGTCCGAACGGCTGCCGCGGCCAACCATCTCAGATGGTCTTTACTAACGGTAAATCTTGCAGTAGGCCATGATGTTGCTCAACTCATTCTCTCTTCACTGTCTTCAGCATCATCTTCATCTTTTTTTTACTTCATCATGGTGTTTGCCACGGTCGCCTTCACTCAGCCGTCACGGTTAAAATGATGATCGCCGGGCCGCCGGTCGCGGTTCGGCCTCACTGTCAGTGACCGAGGTCCGGGCCCCGGTCAGGCTCTCAGTGTTGATTGTCCTCGTACTGATTTTAAGTTAACTGCCGATGTGGCCAATCGCTTCACAATCGGATCAGTGTTTGTAGTATGGCGAGAGCAGTGGAGGAGGAAGAGATGGTGGGATGAGATGAGATGAGATGAGATGAGATGAGATGAGATGAGATGAGATGAGATGAGATGAGATGAGATGAGATGAGATGAAAGGAGAAGTCTTTCTCAGATGCGATTGTTGTTAAGCTTCGTCTGGATTCAAAACTACTTGCTCTTGACGATTCTTGAAGACCCCTCCTCGTTGACAGCATCGGTGAGTACGGTGCGATGACTCTGAAGTTGTCGTGGTAAGTTTCATGCTCAGTCTCTGAAGGATGGAGCGCTGCTGGTGTCGACGAGCCTGCTCGCAAGGATCAGAGGGGGAGGGGAGTCAGAGTCAGAAAGTCCAACCCAGATCAAAGACGATGACGGATCTGGTCTGAAGCGGATCAAGATGGCTAACTTTCAACTGAGGAAGAGGAAGAAGCTGATGATAGAAGAGGAGAAGGCTGTTGTAGACATGGACCTCAGACGCTATCAAGCCATCAAGAGCTTGTTCCCTTCGTTCCCTGATCGCACGAGGTATGACTCCTCCTTCCTCCTGCCACTGGAATGATTCTAAATCTCAGCCGATTTGGTGAACTTCGCGTTCCTGATCATGTCGAATGCATCAAGGTAGATCATGTGCTGATGAAGGAGGAGGGGGAGGCAGGGAGAAGCTAATGCTTGAGCCTTGTCTTTTGCTTCTTCTCTCTCTCACATCGTTTCTTTCCTCTCCGACAGCAAGCGTTGCTCAGGCTGAAAGATGGACAGGAGTTGTACGTGCGCAATGGTAGGAGAGAGCCGATCTTGGTGTCCTGTGAACTGAACCTGTCCTCGTTTCAGGTGAGCACACGTGGGATGGCGATGTGAATGTCACTGGGAAGACGATATTTGTAAGGGGCGAGCAGGGAGCTAGGCTGTAAGTCTGCTTGCTGCTGCTCCGTCGTCCTCACACAGAAGCAGGATGGGGCAGTGGGAGAACAGGAAGGAGCTGAGGTGCTTGGAGGAGCCCAACTGTGAGTGAAGAGCGATTTAGTTCTCAACTTGATGCTTTCTTGCAGTCTGCATCGGCTTATCGGTGAGGAGCGGAGGACAGGGGACGGGGGGAGGAGGGGAGGACAGGGGACGGAGGGGGGAAGGGGAAGAGGGAGGACGGAGCGGGGGGGGAAGGAGGAGGGAGGAGGAAGGAGGGAGGGATTGAGGAGGGAGGAGGGGAGGAGGGAGAGAGGCTGAGATTGAGGGGAGGGGTCGAGCAAGGGCGTCCTCCTTGCGGTGGAGCTCATCCATGGTAGCCTTGTACGTGCCTCTTGTGTGGCTCTTGACCTTGAAGCCTTCCAGACACGATGGGAGACTTCGATGCTTGCTTGAAGGTTCTCCACATGAATACCCCCGTCCTCTTGTCTCCCCTTCCGCTTCCGCTTCCACTCCTCACTCCTGTTTGCTGACTCTGCATATTCTTCCGTCTCACTCTGTTCTGCTCTCCTTTCAACTCTCACTCTCCCCCTTGTATTGTCAACTCCTTCCTCCTTCCTTCACTCTACCTTGGCTCTCTCCCTCCCTCCTCCTGCAGGTACTAGGAGGGCCGTGGCTCTTGCATCATTGCAAAATTCTCTCCTCGCACGCAATGTCCCTGCTCTGCTGCCAGTAAGAAATCGAAACTCCCTCCCTAACACTCCTGCTCCTCCTCCCTTGTCGCTTTCCCCCCTGTTCCTGCTCCTGCTCCTGCTCCTGCTCCTGCTCCTGCTCCTGCTCCTGCTCCTGCTCCTGCTCCTGCTCCTGCTCCTGCTCCTGCTCCTGCTCCTCCATTGCTCAGCCCTATTTGCCTGCAGGCAAGCGGACGTTCTCTTGCGCAGAAGCTCTCTCGGGGGGTTGAGCCCTGCCGTAGAAGTCAGCGATCAGGTCTACGGCAGGTGCTCATCTGTTTCTGAAGACCGCCAACCTCCATACCAAGTTTCTCTCCTGCATC